TCTGTGGAGAGCTGATGATCGCGTGGCGCGCTGTCTATTAGCCAAGAAAGCATGTCTGTCCGCAATAGCGAGGGCTTTAGCTGCGATATTCTGCGAGTAAGGAAGGATCGTACTAACCGGTTTCTCGGCATAGTCTTTGCCATGGTTCGCGAGTTGTCTCTTCCTGTCCTCAACGACAGGTCCTAGGTGCTGAAGCATTCTACGATGGTACCCAGTGGCCATGTTGAGCAAGAATGCTGCGACTCTATTGCGCGGTAAGGGCGCGTTTGCGATGTAGCTCATGCGGCTTACGGCTTGAGAGAGCCTGGGAAGCAGTTCAGCCAGGCTCCCCCTAGGACGATATTCATCGCAAATCCCTCTGCCGTCTCGCAATATTCTGAGCTGCGACCTGACGACATAAAAACACGATTTTTATTAACCTATTAACCAAAGCCCTTCGCGAGAAAACGAGCAGACGTACAAACGGGTAGACCGATGAACGCGCGGTTGCTTGCACGGCAGACTATCCGGGCGAAAATGCTAGCAACCCCGAGTGAAGTCCATCCTACTAATGATAATATTTCAAAAAAAAAAAAAGGGGGGGGACTCACCTTTGTCGGCGAGCTTCGCGTCTAGCTCTTGCTTGAAAAAACTGTGAATTCGTCGAGGACCGAGGAAAGAATCATTGCAAGGTTTCCGTTGAGGGCCGTCTGTAATACGCCTATATGATACGTATTTTCGTGAACAGATTTCCCACTCGTGTAGTCGGTCTGGAAAATCTGAGCGAGAGCCGTCAGCAGCGCAATCAACGAAAGCGCACGTCCCAAGAGGCTTACATCAGCTACCGCGGCAGCCGGCGAGAGCGTGTCCTCGTCGGCGGTGAGTAGCTCTTCAACGAGCTCGTCGCCGCTCACTAATACTAGCCATCCGGTCAGCTGTGGTATCTTAAAGATACGGCCCTTGGACTGTTCGTCAGAGGCAGCTGGTAAGCGTATGCCCCCTTTCGCAAAGACGATCGATACCACAAACCTTCACGTATCCATCTTGTATGACCACTCTTGCATTCATCAATACCGTACAGCTGTCCGATACGACAGCAATATATTGTCTGATCCGACGACAGAGATATGGCTTTGAGAGAAAGTAGTGGAGGTCAGCAACATTACAGCGATGAAGCTCAAGCTCTGCGATTAAACTGAGCCTACGTAGGATTTGCGTCGCTGGTACGCCACATACGCCCAACGGCGGACGTGTCTCCTGACTCTCCTCCGCTCACTCTAGTGCCTGCGGAGTTTTCGAACTCCGAGTTCTGAAAATTTGCCGGGGGTGTCTATCGTTCTTCGAACAGCTGTAACCCGCGGCTGACATTGCCATCCTCATCTTCTGTTCGATTCAGTTGGCATCATCTATTCGTAAAGTTGCTGACACAGGCATCTGACCCAACTGTCGGGAATCCCAACCGATTTTGTTTCGGGTGCGACGTAGGCCTAATATAATGCTCTTCTTGTTGCAGCGCTTGCGTAGTCAAAATCGCAAAACGTGGAAAGTGGAGAGGTATAATACACAAGAAGCGAGACGCATGCCCTAGTTCAACGAAATCTCCTCCGTATCGCCCACCTCCTCGTCCCCGATGTCCGGCCCAATCGGCGAGCGCTCCTTCTCGACGGGAGGCGGCGGCGGCACATCGACGTTCGGCACGACGACAGGCGTGAGCGCGACGTCCTCCGTGTCCGACGCGCGGTGCGTCGATGCGCGCCGCTCGCCCAGCTGTTCGCGGTGCTCCTGTGGTTCCTGCGGGAGCGCCTTCGTGTCTGCCGGCATGGGCGGCACGGGTGGCGGCGCCTCCGCGGACGACGGCGGGAAACGGAAGTTCTTGCTCATCGTGCCCTTGCGCGTGCGCCCCGCGGCGGTGTCTGTGTCCTCGTCCTCGTCCGACTCGTCCGACTCCTCAGGCGTCGGCTCGATCGGTGTGACACGCGGTGCAGACGCAGGCTGGGCGGTGGGCGGAGACGTCGTTGTGCGCGCAGGAGCCGGCATCGACTGGCGATTGCTCGTTCTGCTTGCCGGCGAGCTCGAGTTGGCGGGGGAGGGGAGCGTCGCTTGAGACATGGATTGCGGACGCGAGAATGGTGCAGAGTTGATTGGCGCAGACGGGGATGCGCCGAGATAGAAGTTCCCAATGGCGACCATTCTGGGACATTTTCAGCAGGAAGATGCAGGCAGCGCGAGGAAATACCTACTTGTGCTGCTTCTTACACTCGAGAACCCAATGAGGTGTCACGATTGGGATGCTCAGTTGCAGAGCCTTCTGGTATTCGATTCCTGGGGCGTTCGAAGCACCACCAGTCGCTTCTGCTCCCGAAGGCGTCGCAGCGGGCGTCGTGCATACGAAGTGAGTGGTATCGATCTGGATCCTGTCACTCCACTTGCCACCGAGATCGGTGAGAGCGGCCTTCGCTTCCTCAAGCGAGCGGTTGTCTTGGACGTTGCCAAAGCAGACGCGGATGCCAGACGTGTCTTCGAGCTTATGGGTCCTGATGGCAATCGGGTTGGACGAGTATGTCCCCGCGGTCGTCCGCAGAATGAGGTGGAACGAGTAGTCAGAGTCCAGCTGTAGACCAGAGAGCTTCGTAGATGTATTTGTGAGAGGCGATGGGATAGCGGCAAGACGCTGGCGATTTCGGTATATGTCTAGTGAGCGCAGCTTTGATGTTGCGAGTTGGATAGGCTCCCATTCGAGCGTACCGAAGTCTGCGTCACGTTCCGCAGCTGCAAAGCCCGTCGTTGGCACATCTTAGCTCCCGCGTGAGACTTTCAGACATACCTTCAACTTTGGAGGCTCTGGTGGCTTAGTCCCGTATGTATCGAGGATATTTTCCTGCAGCTTCCAAAACTCTTGCTCACGTTTCTTTTCTTCGGCGTGGTTCTGAAGAACGGAGATGTTCACAATGGATCCTGTGGTTGCGCCGGGTGGTAGCAGGAGGGACGGAAACTCGATGAGGTGTGCCCTTTCTCCGAGAAGAATCTACGCCTATGTTTATCATGCAAACGTCCACGAAAGCTTAGGAGCAGCACGTACAGCCATCCCCGCATCTACGCGTAGTTGCCACGGCCCGTGAGCACGCTTTGCGCTATTCAATGAGCACCCTGCTGACCTAGCTTCCCCACCGTAAACATGTAGCTCTCCTGTGACTTTGCCATCTTGGACAGAGGCTGCGGGATCGAATAGAGGGGAGAGAACGGGCGGCCGGTCGTGGTTAAGGAAGGAACGCTAGTTGTTTGATTATAGCCATTACGCGGACATAAGTTCCCACGCTTACAGCCTTTTATTTACGCGTCGTGACATTTGTGATGCCATTTACAATTATCTACTTACGTGCTTATTGACGCGTGTCGTTCGCGCTAACGCTCGTCTCCTCTTGCTTTCATCTTGTGTGTCGCCGACATCTATTTGCCTTTGTGCATAGCCGGCTATCTGCCCGGGAATTTCGTCTTTTTTGTCGGCGTTCGTCAATAAACAAGAACATGACGCGCAACATGTACCACGCAAAAGACCCTTGAGCCAATAGTCGCTGAGACTACCCAAAAACCCCGACCAAACGTGGCGGAGTCGTACTAGCTCTGGGGCTGCAGAGACAGTGCAGATACGCTAGTTTCTCGGCGAGAAGTGGGCTCTATACCGCGTCAAACGCGAGCCCAATGAGAGCCTGGCAATTGTCTCGGGATCATACGGTCCATGTAAGCAGCCTCCCTCTATGTGCAAGCCGAAATATAACTCTAGAATTAGCGAAAGCAACTCAGCCTCTGAAGATGCAGACACTTCCGGGGCTGGATAGTCATATGCATACTCCGCGGCCGCATCCAGTATGTTTTTTGCACGGATTTGGCGCTTGGAAGATGGCGCCTATCGAACGCCACCAAGTCTCTACCTACCCAAAGAGGGCGACAACTTTCGCGGTACACACCGTCCGGATAGCAGCCTCCACGATCTCTGCAAACCATTCGCTGAAGATGCCTCCGTAAATCTCGCAACGACATCGTTATGCAGTCCAATTTTGGGGCTCTGTGCCTGAAGGCACGCAAGCTGACAGTGGTGTACCGCGGAAGCTGACGCGGCGGCTTGCCCGTCTGGTTTGGAAGCACCCAGCCGATCACATCCGCACAATGGTCCTTATAACCCTTCTCTGCGTCGTCGCTGTCTCCCACATGCACCATGTCTATACCCTTGTCCTTCGTGCGCGAGCTACCGGCACCACCAGACGAGTTGTCGCTTGGGGATCTGCTCGTCGAGAGCGTCACAAACAATGGCCGCGTTGACACCTTCTTCGACTGTCTCCCCAGCACGACAAAACCTGCGCTGTACTCTCCAAACACGATGCGGAAGCCACTGTGCCACAACGTGATTCGAGACTTCGTCTCGACCTTCGTCTTCCCTGTCTCGAGCCCTACCAAGCGGTTGGGGCCCAACGATCGCATCATGGTCGCTCTGCCCACAACGCCGGAGAACGGTCTTGCGCTGCTTGCCCTGGCTTCCTATCACACCACAGCCCCCGTTAACGCGACCTGCACAGCGTCAGAGCTGTTCGAAGACGCTGAGCGGCTTGGAGCGAAGGCAGTCCTGGCGACGAGAGATGCGGAAGACCGGCTGGAGCTTAAGAACATCAAGGAGAAGCTTGGTTGCGAGATTGTCTATCTCGAAGAGCGGTCGGATGGACCCACTGGACTTTTCGACCTCACGCTCATGGACTTTCCCGACGATGTGACAATTGGGTACGACGAGGAGAAGTGTCAGCCATCTCAACTCCATGGGCTCGATGACCAGTCGCTCGTTCTCCACACATCTGGCACTAGCGGAAAGAAAAAGGTCGTACCGTACACCCTTCGATCTCTCATCGTCGGCACTTGCGCCGTCATGACGTCGTGGGATCTCAAGGAAGACGACATCAATAGTAAGTCAGGTAATTTTTGTGGGTGTACAGAGCTAATTTTCCCTCAGTGAACATGATGCCTTTGTTTCACGTTGGAGGCATAGTCCGCAATCTGTTTGCGCCCATCTTATCTGGCGGTGCGGCTGTCATGTGTGCTGGCTTTGACGCCGCAGCGTTCTGGTCTTTGTCTACGGAATTGGGTACCACTTGGTGCGTGCTCCCGTCCAATCAGTCTAGCTGGTCATCTAACGACCGTGCAGGTATTACGCGGCTCCCACGATGCACCAAGCGATTTTGAACTCCCGGCCTGACTCCATCGTACCCTCGCGGGCCACGAAGTACCGCCTCATCTGCAATGCTGCTGGTGGCCTGCTTCCTGTTCTTGCTGAAGAGCTGCGCAACACTTTCGGCGCCACTATCTTGCCCTCCTATGGATCAACAGTGAGCACGCTCTGTATGAGTGCGTTCCTGCGCAAGTCGCTGAAGATCATTAGGAATGCATGCCGATCGCGAGTCCTCCAACGACATACAAGCTCGAGCGCCCTGGTTGTTCCGGCATTGCCTGTGGCCCTTATCTCTCCATCCGCGACCCGCTGAATCTCGAGCGCGAGCTTCCCCGCGGACAGACTGGCGCAGTGTCCGTTCGCGGTCTGCCCACCTTCGTCGGCTACGAGAAGGAATCGACCCGTGACGTCCCTCTGGACACTTCGGCATTCTCCAGCGAAGGTTGGTTCGACTCTGGCGATTGCGGATACATGGATAAGGACGGCTACCTCTTCATCACCGGACGCTCTAAGGAGATCATCAATCGTGGCGGAGAAGTCATCTCTCCGTTTGAGATCGAAGAGGCCGTGCTCGTTGTCGCGAAGGAACGAGTCAAGATGACGCTTTCGTTTTCCGTGGAACACGACGTCTTGCAAGAGGCGATCGGCGTCGTTATCGTCCCCGCCCAGGGCATGCCTCGCATCAGTCTTGCCGAGCTCCAGGATCTGCTGAAGGAGCAGCTTCACCCGTCCAAATGGCCGTTCTTGGTCATTTACATGGACGACCTCCCGAAGAACAATGCCGGCAAGCCGCTCCGCATTAAGCTTGCGCAGCGCCTCAACATCGGCATGCTCAATGATGGCGTCCCTGCTCTGCATCGTCACTACGAGGCGAATGCGCCAGACAAGAACGTCCCGCTTTCGGAGCCTATTCCCTGCAATCGCGTCTCCTTCGATATGGACGAGATGAAACAGGCGCTTTGCAACGTGCCTAGCGTGGAGGAGGTCGCGGTACGCATGCAAGAAGACGGCACGCTCGATGCCTTCATCTACACCGAAGACGAGGCTCTCGACTCCGACAAAATCAAGGGTGAGCTCAAGGGTGTCCTACCCGGCTATAGCATTCCGAATTCGGTCTACGTCTTCAACGAGCCGCTGCCCAAGAGCAATGGCGAGGTTAACTTCCACGCTATGGAGGAGACGATCGAGCAGAAGAACGCGGCGAACATGTCTGGGCGCGCGTTGCTCGTGCGCGACATCATCGCGGGCCTGCTCCAGAAGGACGCGGCGATGATCAGCGGCGACTCGGACTTCTTCCTGCTCGGCGGGAACTCGCTTCTGCTTGGCCGCCTCTCGTACGCGATCCGGAAGGAGACGGGCGCATCACTCAAGGTGTCGGATCTCTTCACGAACAGTACTGTCAACGGCCTCGCGGCGCTGATCGACCAGGAAGTGAAAAACTTCATGGCCGCTGCGTCAGACCGTCAGGACGAGCAGGGCAAAGTGTATGAGTCCAGGCCGGTGTTTGGCGAGGCATATCAAGAGAACATCAAGCACCGCAGCCAGTACAACCCACTCTGTTTACTCGTACAAGCTATTCCTACGCTGTTCTTTTATCCGCTCAAGGCTGCATGGAATTGTGAGTCGTGCCGCAAAATTGTGTACCGTATATTGCTGACGAGATAACACAGGGACTGTCATTCTTATTTTCCTCGCCTTCATCAGCGATTATTTGGACAGCAACTATTGGACGCGTGCGGTCGCTCTCTTGACTTCGATCACCCTTGCCCGCCTGTCCTCTCGCATTATTTGTCCTGTGGCCGCTATCATCTTCAAATGGTTGGTCATAGGCAGGTACAAGCCCGACCAGTATGAAATGTGAGTCCTGAACTTACTTTGGCGGGATTATCGTTCTCACCCGTCCTCAGGTATAGCGTGTATTATTTACGATGGTGGATTGTCAACCAATCGCTGCGGTCCGCCGGTCGAGGCATCTTCGCTGCTCACCCGAAAGGCATCAACCTCTACTGTCGGTTGCTCGGAGCCAAAATTGGCAAAGATGTCTACATCGACAAGACCGCCACACTTGGTGAATACGACCTTCTGGAGTTCAAGGATGGCTGCCGAGTAGACAAGGCGCTGGTGCGCGGGTTCTGCGTCGAGCGTGAAGGCCATTTCCGACTCGCCAACATCGTCATCGGCCAGAACGCGACTATCAACACGTACACGCAGATTGCGCCAGGTGCGGTCATCCCTGATGGTGCTGTCTTCGGCCCGCATGCGTCTTCACACGAACAGCCGTCACCTGAGTCGTTTGTCAAGTACAATCGCACAGTCTTCCGGCGACCGCATATCCTCCTCCGGCTCTTCATTGGGCTGCCCATCATTCTCGGTGTCATCTTTCTGTCCTACATCCCCTGGTTCGCGATACTCTACGGCATGGTGCACAACGTCAAGCTTCGCGAATCCGGCCTCAACTCTGTCGAGTCCGTCATCACCTGGTTTGCGTACCCGACGCGAGTGCTCTTCCACATCGTTGCGCGTATGCTGCGCGTCGTTGCAGCGCCTATCATCCAGGTCTTTTTCGGCATCATTGTCAAGCGGATCATGGGTTTGAACGAGCCCGGGCCCGTCGAGGAGCAAAGCCAGTTCACCTTACTACGCCGCTATATCAACAGCGTGCTCCTGTCGCAGTACACACTTCGTCATGCTTTCGACGTGCTCGGTACGCACTACGAGATGACATCGGTGAGCTTCATGCCTTTGACTTCCCTGAGCACTCGTTGATGTCCTACGTAGATTGTCTTCCGCGCCATGGGTGCCAAGATCGGAAAGCGAGTCTACTGGCCTGGTTCTGGCATTTACTGCCCAGACCCGGAGCTGCTCGAGATTGGTGACGACGTCGTCTTTGGTTCCCGCTCAGAGATCTTCACCACGGACAACTTCGGCACCGAGAGAATCAACGTCGGCAACGGCGCCATGATCGCGGATCGAGTAGTGTTGCTCCCAGGCACACATGTCGGCAAGCGCACGGTCATGGGCTCAGGTTCCTTGGGTAAACGTGGTGGTGTATATGAAGACGGTTCGACCTGGATGGGCAACGATGGCGGAGAAGCGGCGATGTTCTCCAAGGGTCTTGGCGTCGAGCTCGACGAAGACACAATCACGCCATTCGGTCGCGCCTTCTACAAACGCGAAGCGACTTATTTCGTCTTCCCTTACCCGCTGCTTGTCGTTATCAACACCGCATTATCGTGTCTCTCTGCGGCCTGGTGGGCCATTGGCGCCGTGACCGCCGCACAGGTTCTCCGCCAGCTCTACATCCATGTCCCCTATCTGCACCTCTTCCACGCGAGCTGGTACCGGCCAGCCACACTGTACGGCCTTATCGCGTGCATCTTTGTCATCACTATGACGTTGCAATCACTCGTAGCCCTGGCATGGGTTATCGTCTGGAAGTGGCTTGTCATTCGGAGGCGCAAGGAGGGCAGCTGCCCGTGGGATACTAGCTCGTACTGCCAGCGCTGGCAGCTGCACCTCACACTCTCCAAGCCACTCTATCGCGGTCACGGCAATGGAGGCGTACTCGCGACGCTTACGGGTTCGGCATACATCGCCTGGTTCTACCGCGCGCTCGGCGCCAAAATCGGGAAGAATTGCACGATTTGGGCCGGCGGGCGCGTAGGGCTCATGACGGAGCCCGACCTTGTCGAGCTCGGCGATCGCGTCTCCCTCGACGAATGTTCCGTCGTTGCGCACATTAACTCGCGTGGCATGTTCGCCCTCAATAGACTCCGCATTGGCACGGGCTGCGCCATGCGCACCGGCTCGCGGCTGCTCTCCGGCGCGCAGATGGAGGATTATAGCATGCTCATGGAGCACGCCCTTCTGCCCTCGGGAGATATCGCTGAGGGCGGCGGGGTATATGTGGGATGGCCCGCGCGGGTGGTTGATACCCGCCGCGGATCGACGGCGTCCACTGTGGTTGGATCTGATGAGGATGTGTACAGCAAGACACAATGAGGTGATATTTTTTGTCATGTTTAGTGGGTACTGTACAGCATACAATGTACGATAGCAGCGTTACCGCAAACCCAATCAGGATTTTCTTTCACCATGTATCTCGCGACACCATCAGGGTGCGAAGTGGAAAGGCAACGCGGTCACTCAGCATCAACGGGGTTCCATGTGATGGCTCCCTCTTTTCCGCGGTCTAGTGCGTCGATACGAGCCATGTCCTCCGCGCTGATCTGAAAGTCGTACACGTCCGCGTTTGACACCACTCGCTCGGGCTTGTCAGACTTCGGGAGCGGAGAGAATCTGCGTGAATGTGAGCCAGCTAAGAGATCTCGGGCCGCCTTCACAAAGAACTTACCCGCGCTGCAGGGACCAACGCACGAGGACCTGAGCGGGGTGCTTGTTATGCTTAAAAGGGCGAATTGAGAAGATTCTCGAGCCCGGAGCTGTTCAACGTAAATTTACCTTCTTCGCGATCTCCGTTATTGCTGTGATGTCCCAATGTCCGCGCATAAGAGGAGCGTAGGCCTCAACGAAGATGCCGTGCTGCTTGCAGTAGCTGACAATATCTTTCTGCTGGCACAAGGGCTGGACCTGTCATGTGTGAATACACAGGACGAAATGAGCACGCGCAGCAAGCAAGAGAACTTTTGTATGTTGCCTCAATTTGATTGATCTCCGGAATTTCGAGACCAGCTTCGTGAATATCATCGAGGTGCTTGACATTACTGCAAGTGCGATCGATGTGAGAATTCGCAAGTTGATGAAAAAACGCGACGCACTAGTTGGACACGCCAATCACTTTCAGTTTACCCTGCTTCTTGGCCTCGATAAGAGCTCTCCAGGTGTCGAGGCGCTTCTCCTTGGGTATGAGCGGGCTGTGGATCAGCATGCAATCAATGTATCCTACAGTGTTTCAGAACGCGAGCATCGTTACTCTGTGTGTGTTATGCCCTCTCACCGACATCGAGCTTCTGCAGCGAGTCGTCTACTGCAGCCAGAGTTATCTCGTATGTGCAAGGGTCAGAATAGGGGTTGATTTTGCTCGCTGTAGTGCACGAATAAGCGAACCGTGTCAAAAAGCCATGAGACACTGGGTCTCACTGATATAGACTTGCTCGCGTGGAATGCCGCTCTCTTTGAGGGCCTCACCGACTTGCGCCTCATTCCTGTACGCGCGAGCGGTGTCGATCTTTCTGTGGCGCAAGGGTCAGCGGCTTCCACAAGCCGAACTACGAACAGAGCTTCAGAACCTGTAGCCATGTTTCAAAGCTGCTAAACAAGCAGGCTTGCTGTTGCTGTTCTTATACACACCGAGACCAAGGAGCGGCATTGGGTATCCTGCATCATTGCCGCGACGTGAGCATAGGATTGAACAACGACCTGATGAAGAGTTGGAGTGACGCCACATCAATGACGACGCACCTGACGATAATAGGGCTACTGAGTCGATGGATAGAACGGACGCCATTCTGCGAGAGACTAGAGGTAAGAGACAGGGAGGTGTGTGATCGCCCTGACATACCCACACAGTTTGAAGCATAATTAGGAGCCTTTACATAAGGCTGCCTCGTACTGCTACCATCAACTGCGGGCCTCGCACGTCTGCCAGAGCGTGAGTCGTCTTGAGACTGTTTTCTCGACTCGGGAGTCGGAGCCTGGAGTGCCATATCAGTTCCCAGCTAGAGGTATAGTCGGACCGGGCTCTGCCCTCGAGAAGGCAGGGTATTGTATAAACTCAAACATACGGTAACGCCAGTCTGAATCGTAGCGCACATGCACATCCATTGGCTTGATAGAGAAAACAGCAGGTATACTACAAGTTCAACGTTCAGAGATAAAGGTTATTGCACGGAAAATGCCAAAACTTACAGTTGCTAACTATGTGCTATCTCTACAGAATGTACAGCGTGTTGCTGCATGCAAATGTGACGTGAGTGTTTGTGCACAGCGACGATAGCAGCCTAGCGATGGATGGGAACGTGCGATTATATTGATACAAGCACCGAGAAGCGATCCAGAACGTCATCTGCCCATGGAAGTTGGAGAAAAAAGGGGGAGGAATGATATACTATGGAGTTCCAGGTGACGGGGTCCGCCTGCCAACGCTGTTCCAGTCGTCAAAATCGCTTCCAGCAAACGACGTGATATCAAACTGGTCATCGACAGAGCTCATGCTCGGACTGAAGATACCCGACCGCAGCGACGGCGACAGAACCGCGGTCTCACTCCATGCGCCGAGATGCAGGCTCGACGGCTGTGGCGACAAGAACACCGGCGACGGCGAGCGGAAGTCCGGCGAGTCCAGCGCTTGAATGTCTGAGAACGGTGAGAGCGGCGAGATGGCGCGCTCGGAACGAGGCGACGCGGCTGATGTGTTGCTACGGGTGGGCGAGGTTTCGGCCGAGGCTATGCCTGCCACGGCAACGAAGGGTGAGTGAACACGAGATTGTGTTGATGAGCTGCCGTCGAGCGTTGGGCTGCGCGCAGCTTCGAAAAGCAGCGAGCCCTCGATCTGCGGTGTTCCATTACCATCGCTAGGCGCGCGACTCGCGGGACCGAGGACAGCGGGCGTGAATGAACTGGCGGTGGACTCAGAGCGGGTCGAGCTCGCAGGACTGCTCACGCGAGACGATGTAAATGCATCCAGGGCAGCAAGGCTTGACGATACGGACTCTACTGTGACAGAGGATCGCAGCCTTGAGGTGTCAACAGCTGTCCTGGGAGAGGGGCTGTGTATCACTGATGGTGTGGGAGCTTGGGAAGTACCAAACTTTGGGACAAAGGGTGACGACGGTGCAGATGACTCGGTGACAGAGGGCAGCATGGGGGATATAGGGTCATAGGGGAGGAAGACGTTAGACTGGGACACAAGGTCAGCGATAGGGAGACTGCGCTGAACTGCCGCGTACCTCGTCTAAGACGTCCGACGACCTGATATGACGACCGCGCTGACGGAGCATGCTGGTCGGATTTGTACTCCTCCACTCTGCGGTCTCCCTCGCCCTGAGGTCTCTGAGCTCGATGGACATGCTGCCGCCATCATACCCATGGTCGTCGTCGGAAACAAGGGGCTTATCCTCGTCCTCGTCTTCTCCCGACTCTGCGCTTGCAGGAACGGCGACAGGACCCCGTTGTCGCTGTCTGCGACGTTCCAGGTAATCGTCGACCTTCGGGGCGACGTGGGGATCATATACGAACTAAGGTGAGGTAAGGTGTTAGTGATTTCAAGGCGTCCAACGCGAGCACACGGCAGCCATACGCACATGCTTCAACGCATACACCGCGACGAAGCCTACTACTACAGTGCCAATGACAACGTACGGAGCAGGCATCGTCAATGGTCGTGGTTGTCGAAAGAAGAAAGACGCAGGAGGACATGCGGCAAATGTGGAATTAATTGAGACGCCCGCAGCGGCAGCGGAGGCAGATCATAACGCCCGCACCGAAGGCCTGTATCGATCGGGAAACGGAGGCAATGCAAGGTTCGAATTGTCCTAAGAGAGCGACTATTACAAGGCTGTATCAATGCGAAGTTTAGACTATGCATGAGGGGATGAAGTCCAGGATATGGTGGTAGGCAGATAGTCCAGTCCGATACTTGACTAATAGTCCGTCCGAATGCCAACTAAGAGATACTAGATGCAACGACCAAAACAATGAGAGACCACCAACGTCTATGATTGAGAAAGAATGCTGTCGATCGAGTCGTTGAGGAACTGCTTCCGAGTCGACAAGTCCGCCTTGGGGAATCGGGCTTGCATCGCTTCTCGCGCAGTTCTAGGAAAAGGCACTCGTCATCGTTCGGCACACGGCAGACGTGTAAAAATGCTTACTTCTTGGTAACTGTCATGAGGTCTTGCGTGCTCAGGTATTGCCGTAAGGCGCTGGTCAGCTCCTCATCATTCGGGTTGGGATTCATGCTCGGCGATGGCGTCGCGAACGGATTGACCGACGTCGCCATCGAGAAGGTCGACATTGGGCGGCCCTGCATGCCAGGAGCCATCGGCGGAGCAAAGTCTCCCGCCTGTGATCCGCTCACGTTACCACCGAACATACCCATGGACATGACAGTGTTGCGTGGCGCCATAGGCATCGTAGGCATCATGCCGTACACGCTGCCTGTGTGCTGGTATGTCATTGGACCGGGCATGGGCATCTGACCGCCGTGGTCAGAGCCAGCGACGGAGCCGGGGCCGCCGCCGAACGGCATGAACGGTAACTGAGGAAGGCCGTATGTCGACATCGCCGGCTGTCCACCATGATGCGAGTGGTTGCTTCCAACAGGCCGTTGTGAGCCATTCTTGTCGAGAGGATTTGTGTCCCTGTAGTAGTCTCCGCTTTGCGAGGGGTGGAAGCTGCGTGGCGATTCGGCACGGGACCCAGGAGCGCGAGACCTAGCGCGCGATTGAGCCTTGCTACCACTATAGCCTGTCTCACCAGAGTGGTGCGACGCAGTCTCCCAAGCCTCAGCCTCGTATTCTGAGGGATAATTGTCAGATAACAAGTGGATGGAATGACAGACATGAGGCGTACCGCTGAACTTCTTCATGGGGATCATGGAGTCGTCGAACTTCTCGTCGTCATTCATGATGACCTTCTTGTTGCTGCCTTCACCAATGACCAGACGAGTGCTACCCCAACTGAAGTCATCCATGCACCAGAAAGAATATACGGGTAGGAGGAAACTGTACACGGGATATCTGAAAAGCGATCGATGAGTCGGCATTCATCGCGTAAGGATGAGGAACATACGAGAGGATGTAAACCACCATCCAACCGACGAGCATGAACTCTCGCTTGAGGATGAAGATGATCATCTGCAGACCGTACACTGCAGCCAACATGACGAGAGCCAGGACGGGGACTGCGGCATGCGTCACAGTAACAGTAACGATCAGATATATGAGCTACAGGCTGGAGTTAGATGTGCGAAGTAGCGCCAGCGCAACTGGAACTCACATAAACGACAGTCGACGGCAAGATCTGCATGATTCAAGTGAATCAGCTATCGTTCAGGGGCTCAGACAGTGCACCAACATACCAAGGTACCAAGGAGATCAATGAAAACGAAGAACCTCATGGAGAAACAGCAGAAGCCAAACAGTTCGGGTAGGAAAACCAGCTCGCAAAGGTTGTGAATGGTCGAGTTGATCCACCGACGACGCTGAGAGAGCAGCACTCGCCAGGACTCGGGGGCGACGGTGTGTGCAAGAGCGTCAGGCGTGAATTTAGTCCGGAACGTCGGGAAGTGCTTGAGTAGAAGCGTCGTCAGGAAACGATCCTCTCCGAGAGACAGCAGATTCTTCTTGTGCAACGTATCGACATTGGGTTCGGCATACTCCTCAATGATGCGATTTGAGATAATGATAGGTCGTCCCTTGTCGGCCGTCCGTATGCGATACATTGAGAAACATCCTGGAAGACAGCTCACGGAGCCGAACAGGCTCTCGAAAGCCTTCGACAAGTGATGCGAGATGTAGTATTCGTAAACCTGTGAACGAGATCAGGCGTAATTAGATAGAGGAGAGTCATCACAAACCTGAATCATTGTCCACCATGAACCTTCCTCGTTTTCCAGCTTGGTCTCACCACAGATACCGATGATGCTAGAGTCATCGGCGGCGGAGGCTACTAGTCGATTTAACGACTCAGGGGTGACAGTCTAGAATAATGATTAAAACACGTGAGAACTACAAGAGATGCGCACTTACGGTATCGGCATCAACAGTGAAGATGTACTCATAGAACGCCGGGTCAATACCAATGACATTCCGCATTTGGTGGTAGATCTCGAGCTCGAGCGGGGTCATGGCCGAGTCGAAATGCACGCGGTTGAGATACTGCATGAGAAGAATCTGACTGTCTCGCTTGCCGCGATTACCGGGCCTGGTACGTTCGGTCGGCTTGCCGACCTTGACTACGACGATATATCTGGGGGTGCTGAGTTTAGCCTCTACACTTCATAAGCGACTGATGAGACTTACGGAACGACATGACCCTCAAACTCATACAAACCAGAGTAGATCTTGCCGTAGTTGAGCGCCTTGGACCCTTCTCCGATCGACTTGAACAACAGCGGCTCGGGATCGAGCTTAGAATCAACACCAAGGATGTCGAGGACGATGCGCGGCGTGGTGCGGTCGTTGCCCGTACCGATAATGTTGCCGTCGCAGATGAGGAACAACAGCTTACGTTTATCATCGTAGTTCAAGGACGCCAGTGAATCGATCGTCCGCCGGAGTGAGTCTTCGCCTTCAGTGTAACACGGGATTTGACAGATGACAAACTTGTCCAACATCTCGGGATTGCGCTTGGGAGAGAGCTGCAGGGCCGACAAGACTACGAAGAGTGTAAGCACGTCTACTTGAGAGGCGCATATACAGCAGCCACTTACACTTCAAGACCATTGACGCCATGATGACCGCAGACGCAGCGACCAAAAGCCAATTCTGGACCTGGCACCGCGCAGTCTTGCGGAAATCGTACTCGCCCACATAGAAGGCGTTGTTGAGACAGTCGACATTCTGCGCGCGGGTGGTTGGGTCCATCGCAGCGAGTACGCCGTTCAGATCGCTTGAGATATCTTGTCCGACACGTTGCTCAAACAAGTCGCTAACGCTCTCGTTCAGGAATTCGTACTGGTCGCCAAGGTTGAGACTGATAGTGTTGAAGTAATCGGTTAGGTCGTAGATGCTACTATCCCAGATGATTACGTTCCTAGGCAACCAAGCAAATATCAGCGATATGTTCCTTGCTGCAAGGACTGTCACACAACACTTACCGGGGCGAGTCCTGATCGTTCGCCGCGTTCCAAATGGCCGATTTATCCCAGACCAGCGGACCTTTGTGGAAAGTGCGGATGGTGGGAAGGAAGCGCGCCGTGTACCAGTCCGAAGCATCCAGCTTCGTATTCTGAGCGGATTGCAGGGTACCAGACGTGTGCATTGCAGTGGGAATCTCCGGGGTGAAGTTGGCCGGGCGCAACCCCATATTCGGGTCATTGACGAGTCCAGGGCAAGCGAGAACGAGAGGAGGCGGGAAATAACCAGTCATATCTTGACCCGCGAGGGCCGAAAGTGAATCGGCACCATTGCTCGCTTCACCAGTGATATCGCTGTGATCGCCGTGAACGAAGTTCGAGACGTCGTAGACGTTACCTTGGATGGCAACCCAGTAGTCATTGGAAGTGGTGTGTTGGTTAACCTCCTGGACCGACCACGCCTTGTTGAAGTTAGGACACAGGAGACGACCGAACTCGATGATGTAGAAGATGACAAGGGCGTTTAGGAAGAGGATGAGCCAGAAGATCGTGAACTTCTCGCGCCAGGCAAGACGGATATCTGCGCGTTTCATGCGGCCGACAGATGACAGTAGGAACGACGGTATCCAGAACGTCGTACCCCAAACGACCCATAGCCAGATGCGACGCGTTCGAGTCGTCGGTAGCTCCTCCACAGCGTTTGGCGCCTCCCTGACGACGAGGTCTCCGCCCTCCTTCTGGTCGCCTGGCGCCCGACCTCCCTCTTTTCCCCATTCGGAGCCCCATCCTGCGTCACTGTACGCAGGCGCATCGTCCACAACTTGAGACTGCGACAGCTGACTGTTACCGTACGGCATATTTGCGTTGGGCGACTTGTAAGCACCGCCAGGTCCATTGCGCGTGAGTAGAAGGTTATCCTCGCTCTCCGCGGCATAGTATCCACCGCCGCCTACGTGGGATGAGCTAGCGTCGCGCTGGGAATACTCGGTCGCGTCGTCGGGTAGGACGCTCTCGTCGTCGTCTACGCCACCCATGAGCTTCTTCGCTTCTTTCTCAGCCGACCGAATGACGTCCTCGACCATTTTCCAGGAGGTGTAAGACAGCCAGATCTTTGAGTGACCCATCGCATACTCAACACCCTCCTCCCAGCCATTCGCCTGCGCGCACTGCCGTATCCGTTCTCTTTCTGATCCCTGCATCGTCGGAACGTAACAATCGCAGAAGGCGGTGTGGTCCATGTCGACAACGTACTCCGTCTTGCAGCGAGCTACAAGATCAGGGAGTAGAAGAGAGCGAATCTGCAGCTTGACTCGGCGCTTGTCGAAGGAGTTGGAGGACCCGGAGTCGTTCGGACGAATGCAGGAGACGGTCCAGTGCCTCGTCCGGTCCAAGCTGTAAAGAATCTCGGAGAGGTTGTAGTTGATCTGCGTCGTGACGGGGTAAGCTTTGGTGGGATCGAGACGGGGATGCTCCTCGCCGGCAGGAGGTAGTGTGCCATCGGGGGAAGGAATGGGCGTAGCTTGTCGCAAGGGACGCGACGAAGCCTGTGTCTGGACAATAATGGAGTCGTCTTTAGAATGTCTCTCAGCAGCAAGACTCGGGCCGGACATGAGCTTGGCGACGAAGGGCTCCTTCGAGTTGCGGAATAGCGTGACGAACGCCGAGTCCAGAACGTCGATGTCCTTTTCCACGAAGCCATCAACTTCGTAAGTAACGCTGCCGGCATAGTGGTTTACGCCGAATACGTGCCGCCCGGAAGGACCTGCTGTTGGCTGGGGGTTGGCAATGAACGAGCTGTGCGCGCCGAACCTGGCGGTGAGATCCTGGAGGAGCTCCTCGTCACGCTTGTCTCCGCTCTTGCCTGACTTCACGGCAGAACAGGCTTTGTTCATCCCGCCGAGTATTCCAGACGGCTTTCGGTGAGCGCGTTCGTCAAGCTGCGCACCTCGTAGCAACTCGATGCAGGCAGAGTTGTCCATAATCGCGACCGACGGCAGCGAGACGCCATCAGCGGTCATTTGCGCGTTGTAACCCACGGAGTCCTCAAAGATGTTGCGGATGACATACGACTGTAGCACCTCGTCTGAGAAGTTGATGCAAAATTCGTCGAAGCCGTTCTGGCCGTAGGCCGAGACAAGTGGCGCAGGACCCCCGAGCATCATTGACGTGGTACCACCGGGGCCCCGTGTCTGGAAGCCGGGTTGGTCTAGCAAAATGATCTGCGTCGCCGGTAGCGGATCCTGGGAACCCGGAGCAATGCGATGATTCGCCGTTTCGCCAACGTAGGCAAAGAGGATGGCATAGAGGTCACGAACGAGCGAATCTCGCTGCGCAGCGCTTTGCGAAGCGTTGAGCATAACCGTATATAGCTCCTTCCTGACGTAGCTGGTCTTATTTGTCAACGTTTCTCCCAGCTCCTCTGATGAGACTCCCAAGAGACGCGCCGCCTGATCGAGAACGAGGGGGTTGGAGACGTACGCGGACACGTCTCGTGCGTCCCCTTCACCAAATTGGACATTGCCTAGGGTGAGAATTGCAATCAGGAGGCTGAAGATAGATGAGGTGTGCTTTGACTTGAAGCCGAGGGTCTTCATCGCGGCACGCAGCTCGTCCATGGCTATTGAATCGTCGCTAAACGGGCCAGCGGGTAGACGGTAGCATCCCGACGATGCAAGAAGAGCATAATCCGAAGGATCCTCGAGCTGGAAGCGGTCGCGTTCTTCCGGAGTCGATCCGGCTAGCAGTTGATAAAATACGTGAAACGTGCGCTCCTCGTGCGTGAGACGATTTACGCGAGACTTTTCAAGTGCGTAAGTGAGGACCTTCCCGCCGGATATGCGTCCTCGCTCAGTGAAGTGCAGTTCGAGGTAGCGACCATGCCGCGAAGCATTCGGGTTCATGAGCGTCTTCGCGTTACCAAAGGAGTCGAGTAGAGTGCCCAGAGCCTTGATTTGCTCTGCCATGCGGGTTTCACGCTTTGAATGAGAAGATAGCCTTAGCACCTGGTTGACGACAAGCTGTGCACTCGCAGTCTTCCCTGAACCTGTGATACCTCTAAGGCCTGTCGTCAGTACGAAAGCCGGTGGAACGGCCAACGACTACGCACCGGAAAATGACCGACTGCGACTCATTCCGCCTCCTCATCATCAGATATACTCGCGCAGCAAGGTCGTATAGGTGAGGCGGCAGCGGCGGGGGCGTGCCTGGTAGGGGAAGGCTCGTGTCCTTGTACGATCGCTCCTCATACTCCTGGGCGCTGATGTCGTTGACGTTCGCAAGCGTTTTGTAGGGGTTGACAACAACGTAGTTTGTCGAACCAACTCTAGAATAAGGTAGGTCTTGGCGGAAACGGGTTTGTAGAACAGAGAGAATGGTGTCGTCTGAAGGATGGACTGTTGCAGACGTCGAGGAAGAAACCAGGTCGGTGAGGTCTCCCGACTGGACTGCCTGGGATTGCTGAGCGGGAGTAACGGCGGCCATGGCCGTGAGTAAAGTCGTCGCTCGACACAGCGAGCGATTTGTGAAGAACAGGGAGGAAAGGAGAAATGAAGTGTGGAAACAGGCAGGAAACGGAAACGGCGTCCCAGCACCGCATCACGACGGATACAATTTTTGCTTACCGCCGGTTACGAACAGTTACTGATGCGTCACACACTGAGCTTACTGATATTATTGCTGTCATCCCCTTTTTGCTTATCGAACCTAGAATTATTCTTGTCTCAATTTGAGCTCCTCCGACCTTCCACTACGTACAGTACTTCAAGCTTCAAGCTTCAAGTTCCACACTTGATTCTGTCCTCCAATACTTCATGTGCCGGCCGTAATATTGTATACTACTGGTGTACTGGCCTCAGGCTGGCAAGACGTGGACTATACGGCAAGCCGATCGTCTCGAATGTGACATCCCGGCACGTCCAAGCAACAAACCGAAGCAACTCATTCATTTCCTTCGTACCGGTCGGCACTTAAGTCTGCGTTCGCAAATTATTACGTCCAATTAGTTGGCCTGCATGATACAGGCGGCCTCACTTCTGCGTGCGACGGCCTTCCACGCCGATTTTCACAGCATCTGCGGTCATTGTTAGCCGTAACTATCTCGACTCTCGTGCGCATATATCTGAAATTTATTCACATTATGGAGGCTTTAATGAAAAACTCTGTAATGCGGCTGATAATGTATGTACTGCAACAGGGAGTGAGCTGAGTTTTTGGCTTTGTTGCAGTATGTATGAGCCTCATTTCAAATTCTACCATTGGAAGCCCGAGTGCCACTGAGCTCCCGATGTTTGTTATGGATTTAGGACTAGCTGCAAACCGTTGATGACAAAGCTGGCAGCTGTGCTTCGGGCTAAAGCCAGGCAGAGACTAACCACACTTTGAATTACGATAAGTTCAAGCCCTCTGTGGCGTTTATTCAACAGCGCAGCGCTAGTTACCGATGTCTTGTACCGTCACTCGGGCTTTCGTACTGCGCCGTCCGCGTCTCGTTCTTGCACGCTTCTTGTCTCAGAGTAAGCATTGTGATAAGAAATTAGCATCTTAATGGGAACCGTTAACACACATCGCAGCCACTTTTGTGATCTATCATACTCGTCAAGGAACTGGTTGAAACTTGCTTGTTAATCACCGGACCAATCGCAGACCAGATGAATATCTCCTCCGCTCACGCTGATCCTATGCGTATCTACCGTGCGAAGCGGGACAGCGCGAAACCTCGCGTCACTAAAAACTACAACATCCTCGGCTTCATCTCTTCTGGCACCTACGGCCGCGTGTACAAGGCTCAGAGCCGGGAACCCGACGCGCGGATACACGCCATCAAAAAGTTTAAGCCTGACAAGGAGGGCGACGTGACCACATACACAGGCATCAGCCAGAGTGCCATCCGCGAGATCGCCCTCAACCGGGAGATCTCTCATGAAAACGTGGTTGCCCTCAAGGAGGTCATCCTTGAGGACAAGTCGATCTATATGGTCTTTGACTATGCAGAACATGACTTCCTGCAGCTGATACACCATCACTCGCAGACGCTACGAACTAGTATATCGTTCCCAGTGTTGAAGAGCCTCACGTTCCAGCTCCTGAATGGCCTCCTCTATCTGCACTCGTGCCACATCATCCACCGTGACCTCAAGCCCGCCAACATCCTTATCACCGCCGACGGTGTCGTCAAGATTGGTGATCTCGGCTTGGCACGCCTAACGTATTCGCCGTTGCAAGCGCTGTACACCGGCGACAAGGTTGTCGTGACAATATGGTACCGCGCCCCGGAGCTACTACTTGGCGCGAAACACTACAACAAGGCCATCGACATCTGGGCTGTTGGGTGCGTTGTTGCGGAACTAGCAAGCCTAAGACCGATATTCAAGGGCGAAGAGGCGAAGCTGGACTCGAAGAAAAATGTACCGTTCCAGAAAGACCAGATGCTCAAAATTTTCGAGATCTTGGGAACACCAGACGGCAATATATGCTCCTTTTTGCTCTTTAATGACTGAACTGACCTCAGCCTGGCTAGAGCGCGATTGGCCTGGCGTGAAGGACATGCCAGAATACCCGAATATGAAACGCCTTGATCCGTGCGTCTCCTATTTAGCCTGTTACTTTCTAACCATCAAAGTCATTATCGTAGATACACTAACCGACTTCGCGATTGGTGTTCGAATCGGATGAAATCCCAGCTGGGCTATGAATTCTTGAAGCAAACCTTTGTCTATGATCCGGACAAGAGGCTTACAGCACACGCCGCCCTCAAGCACAAATGGTTCCAAGAGGACCCTATTCCTACTCAAAAGTGCGCCAAATCTCTTCTGTACATTACTCTTGCTAATGGGATATTCTGTTGGCAGCGCCTTCGAATCACTCCAGGCTCATCAGCATCCGCCGCCGAGGCGCATCACGTATGACGACGCACCTAGCATGATGCCACTCCCCACACAAGCACAAGCGACACAAAACGTTGCTCAAGCACAGGCCACGCAGGTGCATGCGCTTAGCATGAGCCATAGCATGTCCGCGAAGAGCATGTCCGGGAGAGGCAGTGCCGGGAGTGTGGGCACGGGCGTAGGGACGGGCGGGGCAATAGGGAACGGTACCGCCGGGGGCGGGCGAGCACGGAAGAAGGCCAGGGTTGGGTGACCCCAGCATGTGCAGTCGTCGTTGTGGCAGTATTGTTGCGACCTCCCCTTTTGATATTAAATTGGATTCCGGTCGTTCTTCCGGCTTGACGTAACGAGAGGCATACTGAACAAAAAGTAGAATCGCAGGAAAGTACATATATTCAATATGCATGTTGTCTAACCTACAATCGACTGCGGGCTACGATGCTTTTCAGCAGCCCGGTCGGTTTCGACCTCGGCAGCAGAGTTCCCTCGTTCGTCCTTATCCACTCCTCAAAACCCTCTTCCTCTCCCGGATACACGATCCGCTCGCTCCACCTCGCCTTCCTAAACACCGGATGCCACCGCATCGCATGCTCGATACGCTTCTGCTTGCTCCACTGCCCTGGCGCGTACGGCTCAAACGCTGGACTCTGCGCGTACCCAATAGCTGCGACACGAATAAGAATGGCGGAGGTCAGTCCGTACACGGGCTTGATGGAGCCCGACCCGCCCGCCTCGCGTCCCGTCAGGAAGCGGTGCATTCGATACAGTCGCTGGCTTTGAGCACGGTTCTTGTCGGGGCACTCGGGTGGGCCAGAGGGTACCCAGTCGTTCATGTCCATGTAC